GTGCGTACCAACGGTTCTTGCATGAGGCCCATTGTTCTGTCCTAAACGTTACCCTGAGGCCGCTTCATATTTTTGGAGGATGCTTTTATTTTAGCGAACCGCGCATCGTGGCTCACATTTCTTTTTATCCTTCTCTCCCTCTGTATTGGGAGGGGAGCTCAGAGCTCACCCTGCGTGACCGTTAGCAAGTAACGGCAGGTACAGGAAGCCACAGCGGCCAAAATACCTCAGAAACTCGCCTGAATAACCGAACTCTGTGAGATTCAGCATTTTATACTGGATTACTTTGGTTAATTCTGCGATTCCATCTGCGTTTCATTAACAACCTATAAACGGAAGTGGAGCAGAAGGTGGATTCTGATTGGCTGTTGTCGCTCACATTTCCGCCATATTTGATCGAGGAAGAGGCTCGCAGCTGATCACCGTGATCGACTTGAATTTTTTCTCCATCAATAATCGCCCCAGGCTACAGCAGCAGAAAACCCCACGGGGTGCCACTCCTGTCAGCTCGGAACAAAAACTGAAGCTTCGACTCACACCAGCTCACTAAAACTGGACAATAACTGAATAAAAAAAACATTTCCTGGTCGGATGAGTCTGGTTTCTCTGAACTCCAGTGGCATCCAGTCCCACTTGTGTTGATGCGCAGCTGATTGAGATCTGTGGTCTTTAAAACACGTTCAACATGCAACCAAACCTCTGAGGAATGTTTCCAACACTTGGTTGAATCTGTGCCACAAAGAATAAAGGCATTCCTGGAGGTAAAACAAGGTCCAACCCGGTGCTAGAAAGGTGGACCTGATAAGCATGTTTGTGTRTATTTTTAGCAAAAGCTAATTTGGCAGAAAACAGGAAGTTTTGAATTGAGCAAACACATTTTTATTTTTATTTTTTAGCGAGATATTCTACTTGACAGCACTTCTGAAACGACTCCCAGTGAAGCGCAAGAGCTGGTACCTGGATAAGAAACTGGAACAGGACCCTTGGACGTGCCTGGTTTCGTCTGAATCAGTCTGGTCAGCTCAGTCCTGGTCCGAGTCTGGTTTGATTCAGCCTGACCTAGTTTCGTCCACTTTCATGTGGCCTGCCACAGTTTGATGTGATCTTTATGCAGCTGGTGTGACCCGCCCACTTCTGCAAAGAAGAAAACGGTCGGTCAAAAGCAAATTCATAAAAGTAAAAMTGTTACCAAATGTGAACATGTAAATAAGACCACTGCTGAGTCACACATYGTGATTCTGTTATACATCATTCGGACTTTTTGTAGACAATAATTTTCTATTCTGTGATTAGTAAACTTTGACAAAAGTCTAAGGAATAAACCTGCATGCTGCAGGCACAGTTTTTAACCTGTTTATCTGCAAACATTATTTAAATGATTTCTTACAAATTGTAAAATGTTGCAGCAGTAAAAACTTTACAGAAACATCAGAGTTTGTTTTTTTTTTTTTTTTTTTTTTGAGTCAGTGGCACTGAGCGATAAGTATAAAGTAATAGGTATCCTATTAAATCACCATGTCCGTCTGGGAAGAAACTGTGAAGCTATAGACAGCAACAGGGGTGGTTCTAGGGCGGGGCCACTGGGGCAACGGCCCCTGCTAAATTCTGATTGGCCCCCTGAAGTGCCCCTGTCCTGTCACTCATCTGTCCTTTGCCTAAGAGCAATGATGGTGGCTGCAGTTCCATGCCCAAACACTAGAGGCGCTAATGAGTCAAACAGTAAAGTCCAGCATGAATCAATCTTACAGAAGTCGTCTTCTCTTCTTTAAAAGACAATTTTGCAAAATAAAAAATTTTCATTTTCTCACATGCTTTGAGAATATTTTATCCAAGTACAGTAAAAATGCCTGTAACATTGATAATTTAAGCTATTTTAATAACATTACATTACACTTGTTGGAACATTTGCGAATGGTTAGATTTATACACCTTACCAAAACCGAGGATTTATGTGCAAGGATGCTGAACAAAGACTTGGCCCCTCGAYGAATATTGTGGCCCCTTGATTGCCCCTTACTCAGAAAAATCCTAGATCTGCCACTGTCCTAGGTGATTCCCAGCACATCTGTCAGTTAGTTAGCTATACCAGTACAACTTGTTGGACGATAGGCTCTTGAATAAATGTCTAACATGCCTCAATTTGTGCTTTAGTTGTCAAAAAACTAATTATCTGAAAATGCCCATGCTTTAGATGGACTCAAGAGTGGCAAATGATCATATCCTCACTATCGGCGCTGATTTCCTTAATTTTGGAAGATCGGCCAATACTTAGATAAAATCTGTGGAAAAGATTGGCTTCTCTGCCTCCACAAAGGTCTGAGAATCAGCCACTGTCCTTGTTTGCTCTGCTGTGAAATGACCTAATGTCCAGTTAAAACAAGTTTGTATTGTTTCAAGTGTATTGTTCAATGTATTTCAATAAAATAACATTGAAGGTGTTTTGTGACCTTATAACATCTGACAGTGTCAACTATTTTTAAAAAAAATTGGTATCAACCTAGATCTGAATCAGCAGGTCAGGCATTTCAAAGATTGGTGATCGGAGATCAGCAAGAAAACTGGACTCTGTGCACCCCTAATCCACACTAGCCCATGTAAAATCCCACTGACCCATGTAGGTAATTTCCAGATGAAGTCTACGTAGGTGTTGGAGGAACTGATCCAGGTCTGAGGGATTTGTCAAAAGACAATGAATAAATGGGAAAAAAGAGAAAGACTCTTTATTTAATGGAAAGTAGATAATGAAGTGTTACTAGCTAATAACTAACTGTTTGTGAGACCGAGCTGTCTCTGATTCATGACGAATGTGTCCCACGGGAGACAATTTAAAAAGCCTTCAACTCTAATGTGTGCCTATAAAATGCTGTTGGCTGTGCTAGGTACAAGATGAGGTTCTTAAGCTGTTTAACTGGGACAAAGCTCTGGTCTAGAAGGGGGAAAACCACTATGTCGTGATTGAGCAGTGAAAGGAACTGGTGCTGGGAGTGGAAACTGGGTCACTCAGTCTCTATCCACCTACTTCTACCTCATCAGTGAGTCAGCAAGACATTCAGCTTAGTCTCCCTGTTGCACACACTGCGCCCACTCAGACATTCAGGAAGCAGCCAGCAAACCTGCTAATGAACCGAGGAAACATCCAGACAGTGGATAGGCTGTAAAACCTCAACCCTTCTCTAAACCAGTGGTTTTCCAACTCACCGCAGTGTTGGAAAGATGGAAAACCCCAATCAGATCAAGGATTTGTGGGATGCACAGCAGCCATAACTGTAATCCCCTACAGCAGCATGACTTGCAGTCAGCATATAATCTCAGCCTGCTACACTAGCCGTGTTTCCATCAAGGTTTTTTAATGCGCATTTTGAAGTATTGCATCAGAAAAGGTGAATGGAAACGGCTTGATTCGAAAAAACTTCGCAGAGCGACTGCAGCTGGAACCTCATTCCGCTGTCGGCGTATTCGCATTTACTCCCGTAACGTGAAAAGAAGTGCATTTCTGTCTGTACGTCTCCCGACCGCACGCAAAATCACCAAAACTAATTGATGACAGAATAATYACAACTTTCCCGATAGTAGCAACACGTTCCTGATAACTTCTCTCCATTTTCCTGAGATGCGACTAGGGTTGGGCGATATTGGCAAAAAAATTAATCACGATTAACTGTGGTATTTAGCCGATAACGATTAATTTGGCGATTAATCCCCTGGAGTCCCTGGACACCATTATGTCCTGGTCTCATGACCAATATAGTGGGAAAGATTTGCTCTTCATAAAAATCTGTTCCAATTTGTCAAAATTACAGACTTCGGGCTATCCACCAAATTTTAAATTATGTTGATAGATAAATCAATTGCAGAATTAATTTTTTTATGTTCGTCATATTTGAAGCGGAGAGGATCACCGACCAGACCGAACGGGGAAATCACCAGTCAGTATGACTGGTGGCATTAATCATATTAATCGTCAAGTGCCAAAGAATAATTGATTGATGTTTTTCTGACAATTAATTGCACATAATACGATTATGCGCAACCCTAGATGTGACTTCTACTTCCTGTTTCCTACATGCATGCGTGTGACGTAACTGATTCGCTTCAAGCCAGTTGATGGMMACACGTCTGATTCGCATTTCTTCGTTTTTTCCTTTTTGCGAAATTTTAAAAATTCGCTCAAAATTAAAATTGGATGGAAACACGGCAACTGTGGGTCAACAAAAGTGTGCTTAAAAAGATAAGTCTTCGCTTTTAAGATGATGCTTTCATGTATCAACACCATACTTTTTTTATTTTTTTAAGCTGAGGTTGTTCTTCCATGAAGCAGCTCTGTTGTCCTCCATCCATATTTTCAGTT